AGGGCTTCCAACCACCATCTCTAGGGCCCCCACCCGCCAATAATGGGTGGGGGCCGGGGAGTGACAGGACAATAGATCCCTCCCCATTGAAACTTAGGGCCCCCACCAACTGCTAATGCATAGGGTGCCGGGGGGACGGAACAATAGGTCCCTCTCTATTGTAACTTAGGGCCCCCACCTGACGCTCATGGGTGGGGGACAGAGGGGGTGGGACAATAGGTCACCCCCCTTGTAACTTAAGGCCCCCACCCACCGCTCATGGGTGAAGGCCAGGGGGAGGCAGTAGGTCCCCTCTTTTCTCATTTAGGGCACCCACCCGCCGCTAATGGGTGGAGGCCAGGGGGGGCACTAGGTCCTCCCCCCTACTCTCATTTATGGCCCCCCCTACCGCTCATAGGTGGGGGGTGGTGGGGGCAGTAGGTCCCCTCTCTACTGTATCTTAGGGCCCCCACCCGCTTCTCATGTGTGGGGGCCGAAGGGGACACTAGGTCCCCCATTTAGTGGCCCCACTTGAGGAGCACAAGTGGGGGCTCGTGAGGGACACTATTGTAACCGCGGCTGGTTCCCACTATATTGTCTTATTTCCACTATATTCCCACTATATTATTCACTACTATAATGTCTTAGAGCATAGAACTTAGCAGGTCTAATCATACAGATATCTTAGCCCTAATTTTATAATATTAGAAAGATATCCTCTATTTAACATATATAAATAATTGAGAATACAATATAAAATAAGGATTGTCTTGGACGCAATAAAGTTTTGTCTTTTTAGATATTTATTATATAAAAATATAAATATAGACATATAAAATCCATTATAATAATTTATATCAGAGTTTATAAGATTAAATTAAATGCTTGCAAATATAATTAATAGATTAACATACCCTCCTGAACATGTCATCATGTCAGCTTCTCTGTCATTATGATGGAGCAGCGTCTGTCTCCAAATCTCTCCTCATTCTGTCCCTTAACATTTAAAAGTACACCTATTTATACCCTAGGTGTCTTCATTTTAGCGGGTCACCGTAGTTCATATATGAAAAAGTAACTTCTTTTACTTTTATTCATTTTAGGACCTCCCTTAACTTGGCAAAAATACAAGGCCATAACTAAAGGGTGTACACGTCATGGAAATTTCCTTGACTTAGGTCAAGATGGCATCTTAAAGTCTGAACATCTTTATCTACTTAGGGTTACGGTAAATTATGTACTGAAAGAGTCGTAGCATAGCCTTGAAGCTTGTTTATGCATTATTGTTATTGTATTTCGTCTGGGACAAAATGGCGTAAACATATTATCCACTGAAGGTAAGTAAGAAGTTATTGCTTAAAGAAACATGTATGAAAAACAATATGTTCTAACACCTTGTCAGTTTGCAATATCTCTTAAAGACAAAGTACACAGTTTGAGGAATACAATATTTGCATTTGCCCATAGCACTATGTTCCCCTAGTTCATTATTGTTATAAGTGCCACACTAAGGGGCACTTTATTAGAATAGTGGGGGTCTTTTTTACAACAGTGCACAGCCAATAGCTGCTCACTGTTTAGTAGACATGCCCCTAATCGCGGCATAGAGAGTAGGAGCACAAGGGAGATCTTAATCTCACTTAATTACTAATATTAAGTAATCTTTACTTAGTATTATTAAATTTGTCTGAAAGACCAATTTAGGCCTTTCAGCCTCTTAGTAGATAGCTCCCTAATACCGTAGAAATTGGGGAGCTATCTACTTGCGGCACGGATAGGATCTGAATTTCATTAGTTCTACTGAAATTCCGATCTGAACAAAAAGTACCGAATTGGGTCTTAACACGAATGGACAAACTGTTTTCATTCTGTGAGGACGAAATTCAGTAGTTTTGCCAGTGTTCACATGTCAAATTAAACAGCACGAGAACACAGGAGGAGAGATGAGTATTGTGGGAAATTGTTTTGACCACAAGAAATTGAGCGGACTTAGCTTCTCCCCGGGTCAAAGATGGGCAAGTGTACGAAAAATACATAAGACAAAATAGTTCCTACTTTGTCTTATGTTTTAAAGAAAACTAGATCAGTTAGGAAGAAAAGAAGAACATATCCTCAGAGAGGAAGAGAGGAGGAAGCAATTAAGGAAAGGTAAGTTCGGCATGACAGTGCCGCTTTAAAAAAGAAGACACACTCTTCACACATAAAGTACTTCAGCAAGTTGATTGCTTTAGGGATCTAAAGCCACAGTAGTATGGGTGAGTGACAGGCTCAGAACGGCATTTGGACAAGCAGGGTGAATGGTTGTTAAAGGGACACTCCAGGCACCCAGACCACTTCTGCCCATCTGAGTGCCAACTCCCTCTACACTTAACCCTGCAACTGTAATTATTGCAGTTTTTTATAAACTGCAATAATTACCTTGCAGGGTTAACTCCACTTCGAGTGGCTGTCTACTAGACAGCCACTAGAGGGCACTTCCTGGATCCAGCGTCGCTCATTTCCCCATAGGAAAGCATTGAAGTGCATTTTCAATGCTTTCCTTTGGGGGGCATTGCCGCGCATTAGGTCTCACTGGCCGGTGGGCGGGATCAGTCTCGCTCACCAGCCGACGCAATCAGTAGGAGGAGCATTGGCGGAAGGAGAAGCAGCTACGTGGGATATGTCGCTCCCTCTGGTAAGTGACTGAAGGGGTTTTCACCTCTTCAGCAACCGGGGATTGGGGGGTGGGAGGGAGAGGGGACCTGCAGTGCCAGGAAAACGGATTGTTTTCCTGGCACTGGAGTTTCCCTTTAAGCTGTAATGATCATGATTATGCAAAAAGGCAATATTAAGTAATCATGACAGTAGATGTAATAAATTTACAAATCTTTATTTCTTTGGATTTAAAAATACTCATAGTGTGTCACCAACAAAAAAACAACAGTAAAAATAGGATCAGTCACATAAAAAAGGATAATGTTTTAAATGTATATCGCATCTAGATTGGTGCTTCCTCATCTAAATCTAAGCAACCTTATCTTTTTTATGACGTCCAATTTTTCACTGTGTCTAGTTTTGTTGGTGACACACTTTATGGATATTTTATTTTTGTACATTCTTATTGTTGTGACAGACCGGCGATGCCACAACAGCATTGTCAGGCTTAATAGTTAACATTCGCATGGAATGCAAAGCATTAGCACAAATTTTCAAAGATAATAAATCAGACTAGTCAAGAATATACAGATAGAAGATCCACAAGCATAATACACGTTTGCAAACCCGTTTAGATAGTCATATTTGTGCCCACGTAGAATGCCTCATCTTGATCTAGTGGTGAACTAGTGATCAGCTGAGCACCAATGGGCAAACAAAATCCTTAAAGAAGCCTGGTAAATATCATGTAGTATGAAGATTAGATGGGAGCCCTGCATTAGGGGGAGACAAGATTAGTGGGACCCAGTATCAGCCAATACCCTCCAGAGGTTTACCTCTGCATACAATCCAGCAAGTGGTGACCTGATAGGGAGGGATGGGATGCCCAGCTGCAGCTCTCAGGAGCTTTTCGATATGGCAAGCACTTGTACTGGTCCTTGATGGTCCAAGGACCAAGCAAGGACTGTGGCTCGAGGACAGGCTGGAGGCCACTTCATTCAAGGGAGACATACGTGGGTCTGTCTCCCTTGTAGGGCCCACTCGAGGCCTCCTCTGGCTCCTCCAAATTGACACACTGCACTTGCTGGGGTGATTCACTTGTCAGCTCTCATTGGTGTGCATGGGGATGTACAGCTGCCTCTGATGTGCATGGGGTTGTACAGCCGCCTCCAGAAGTTGACAAAGATAGCATCCGGATTAGTGAGAGTGTCTGCTTGTCCACCGCTGTGATCCAGGGAGCATCTGGCAGCCGACCATTAGAGTGTCCCGCAGGTTTTTTTTTTTAGATGTAGACCAGGATAACCCTCACTGGCCCAGAGGTGGTTGGGGAAACAGGCCAGCAGAAAATGACTCTGTGAGGGTCCGAGTGTCTGTGGGCTGGGAGAGCTGTCGCCCCTCCCGCCCAACGTGTGCACAAAACCTGACTTTATCCTCCAAGTATTTTGCTGGCAAACTCGGTTTACAAACGCACCAGAGGTTACCTTCCAGCTCAGGATACAGGTAAGTCTCCATTGATTGCCCACTGATAACGTTGGGAGTCAATAAATAGGGAACATGCGATGACTATATCAGGAGCTTCTCTTAGATATAATCAGCCACCATGATGTTCAGGCCCCACTGCCATGGATATATCTTTTTTTTTTTTATTATTCTTTATTTTTTATGTGCGCAAAGTAACACAATTGCTTGCGCTGCCACGACAGCTAGTGCAAGAACAATAAAATTTAACAGAAGTCAAAAAGCATGGCATTAGCATTATCTGCACATATTTTAAAATTTATATAAAACAAAATAAAAGTGTGATACGCTCAAGCTCGGTAACTGGCTAGGTAGGGTTAAAACCAAGCCTTTGTCTGTAAGGTATCAAATCTGGTTGTTAACTGCAATGTAGTCTCGCAAAAACTGCATGTCACCGAGAGAAACAGAAAGTATCAGTCCTGGCATTAGAGTCCCTTTGCCCATATTTACAGATTTTAATACAAAGGTATGATATACTCTGGCTGTATAACTGGCTAGGCAGGGTTAAATTAACGCATTTACTGGTAAGGTTTCTAGGCTGGCTAGTAACTGAGGTGTTATCATGCTAAAATGTGCCTTATACCAATGTGAACAGAAGGACCCTTTATACTAGTTGGATTGACATGCTTAGCTAGCTGGTTTAAATCAAGTAGTGAAATTACTGCCCTTATGATCTAATGCTAATGCGGTAAATGAGGTACAGAGGCGTATAGGTTAATTAAGCTTTTTTTCGGCTGTGCAGGCTCTTCTCCGGTGGGTGGTCTGGATCTGTACTAGTCCCTGGCTCAGTCCTCATCATTCAGTACATCGTGTGTTTCAGGTCTGGATGAGCCACAGGTCTTTGTCGTGGGCTGTTGCTGGTCTGACCTGGTGTCTCCGTCATTTTGGGCCTCGCGGCCTGCTATTTTCTCCCTCGTTTCGGTGGTGCTGTGCACTCTCGGGGCCCAGTCCGGGTCACTGCTAGCTGATGAGGTAGTCTGTCGTGCATCATGTACCGTTCGTCTGAGCAGGTCCGAGGGCTTGTCTGCCTGGGAAGGTGAGTTGGTGCTGTGCCACTTGCAGCCCCTCTGCCCTCTTTGCCGTGTGTGGGTGCAGGGACCACGGAGATTTGGTCAGGCATGTCCCGATGTGGTGTGGCCCTGTGTCCCCGCCGATCAGGCTGCCATGGACAGGTACATGGCATCAGCTCTGGGTTTGTGGGGATTGACTCCCTGATGTGAGTTGGCAGGGTTATGGATACTGCCTCTATAGATGTAGCTTGTGGCTTGTGCTGTATTTTAGTAGCTAGCCTGGGTCTTGGGATCACTTTTGCAGAAGGGACCTCAGGGTGTGGGCTGGGATCACCCCACCGGACCAAAGGGGGGGGACAAGGCCCAGTCCGTCAATCCGAGGGAGTCCGGCTGGATACTGTCAGGCAGGATAGCTGGGCAGCGGTCATCCACCCCACTCTCCGCCTGAGTAGGCCTCATCCAGTAGGGACGATGTATATCTCTCCGAGGGACTGAAACAGGTACTGCGATCCTTTCCCCGGGTCCAGTGCTTCCTCGTGTGCCGACCCATGGCATTTGGTCATCTGGTAGGACCAAGAGTTCAGTTTTTGGAGCTTAAATGGCAGAAAGTTGTCGAAGCCATTGTTCCATGCAACCAGCCTGCATGGCGGTCAGGCCCCGCCCCCCCGCCATGGATATTTTTAAATCATGAGAAATACAGATTGTGTATTTTTATTACATCTGCTGCCTACATTCAAGGGTGTCTATTTGCTTAATTTTGCCTGTTTGCATAGCTCAACCTTTTCTGCTATTTTGTCATGTTTTTTAGCCTTTTTTCAGTTCATGCGATCATAATGGCTCTAGAGCTGTCTGTGGACATCAGAAGAGCTATTCAAAATCAATTCACATCATATTCCCATCACATAATTATTTTTTAAATTTATTAAGGCTATAATAAAAACCAGTGTTTTCACTCAGTGTGTTAATGTGGTTGTGGCCTTCCTGATATTATATCACCATTTTAACACATTGTGACAGTGACTTATGTACAGGGTAATTCACTAAAGAATGGGGTAAAACCATCTGGTGCTGCACTGGGCTATTTGAAAGGCAAAATCCAGACATTGCGTACCCTATTTAACAATGTTTGGACTTTGCAAAGAATGCTCCAAATTAGTGTGAATAATGTCTGGATTTCCGGCGGATGAAAAAACTGCCTAGCCCAGATTTGAAAAATCTGAACTATTTGCCTGCTGTCTGTGTAACAGCCAGTGGGTGAACTGTTAAAAAAAAAAATACAAACTTGCTAGCCAGCCACTATATAATTATACATGTATCGGTTGACAATTCTTATTTTAAAACCAGCAAACACTTTTAAACAAATATACAATCCAAAAAAATTAGCCTCAGATTGTATTATTCAGCATTGCCTCTTAGCTAAGGGAGCTTCTTCAACACTCTTACCCACCCTTACCAATTTTAGACCAGTTTAATGACAGATACAGGCAGTGGCGTACCTACCACGGTCGCAGGGATCGCAGCTGCGACCGGCCCACTCACTACAGGGCCAACTTCTGTGGTGCACCGGCACAGGTCCGCGGGTCTCTGGCAGGAGAGGAGAGCTGTGCTGCTCCCCTCCTGCCTGTGTGTAGCATGGCCGATCGTCTGTCAGGAAGCGCTCACTGAGAGAGCACTTCCTGTCAGACCGGGATGCAGTCCCCCGTGTTCTCCCTATCATGAAGGGGCCAAAGAGGTGGCCTACTGGCCACCTATGGACTCCCCCGGCGGGTGACTGTGTTCCCAGCAGAGAGGGCGAGGGAGCTGTGTTCTCCCTGCTCTGCTCCTTTGCACACTGTTTGCTGATGCTGGGAGCTGGAATATGACGTCAGTAGACAACCCGCATTTATTAAATGATGGTAACATACTGTCCTTCCTAGCCTCCATCCATGATACAACAATGTAGATCTCGACACACACAAATAATCATTTTCAATGGATTTTGTAAATTTGGACAAAATCTAGAGTTTAATTAATAACCCTGTTAGTTTTAAATGCTGATGAGAATAATAATTTCAACTGCCAATTACAGCTTTAGAATTGGAAATCTAACCTGATTATTTAATAAAATCCCATTGTCCATGGTTATTTAAACCCTACAGGAGAGCAGCTCGATATCTCTGAGTTAGTTTAAGGGTTTTACCAATCATGTCTACTACAGTGATTTGAAATGGTCATGGTGCTTGGAGTCTGTATGTGTAGAGCAGGGCCGGACTGGGAGAAAAATTCGGCCCGGGCATTTTTTTATCACAGCGGCCCACTTAGAAGGGGGCGGGGCAGAGGAGGTGTGTTTTGTCATCACCAATGACAAACACGCTCCCTCTCAAAGTGAGCATGTTGGTTCAATGCTCTTCCAGGGCAGACCATGCGCAGAGCTCTGCTGAAGAGCTCTAGCATGAGAAAAAAGCCCTGTATTTGTTCTGCACAGTGCAAGCAAATTTAATAACATGCTTGCACTGTGTTTCCTTGCAACTTGTCTCTGGTGTCTCTATAAATGGATACCAGGAGACAAAAATGCCAGGAAAGAGTATTGTGCATGTGTTTGGAGCCTGCTTGTGGTATTGTGTGTGTGTAGAGTGAGCTGATTGTGAGGTGGTATTGTGTAATAAGGTTGGTTTTAGTCATGTTGTGTTTGTGGTGTAATGTGATGCATATGTGGCTAGGGGCTGTAGAGAATGTGTGTATAGGGGATATAGCAAGTATGTGCATACAGGCTATAGTGTGTGTGTATATAGGTGATGTAGTGTGTGTTTAGGTGTGTAGTATGTGTTTGCTTACAAGGAATCTAGTGTGTGTATAGGGGATCCAGAGTGTGTATGTTAAGAGTGTAGTGTGTCTGTGTATATATATATATATATATATATAGAGAGAGAGAGAGAGAGAGAGAGTCTAGTGTGTGTTTGAAGGACCCAGAATGTGTATAGGAGATCTAGTGAGTGTGTGTTTATAATGGTTTCAGAGTGTATATAGGGATCTAGTGTGTGTATGTGTGTAGATGATCCAGAGTTGGGTACGGGATCTAGTGTGTGTCTGGAATGTAATGTGTTTAGGGGTGCAGTATGTGTGTGAGGGGTGCTGTGTGTGTGTGTGTGTATATATATATATATATATATATATATATACATATATATATATATGTATATTTGGAAGTATTGTGTATGTCTGTTGTGCAGTGTGTCGGATAGCGCCGGCCCTGCATAGACTGGCAAGGGAGATCCTGGGACCTCCCCTGCCAGCCTCGGCCCATGGCCACCGCAGCCCACCGGGCATTTGCCCGGTGTGCCCAATGGCCAGTCCGGGCCTGGTGTAGAGTTTCAGTTTGAAAAGCTGCACATACAAAGTTAAAGCCCTTTGCTGCTGTTGGTGGAAAGCCACCTCTGGCAGGGTTAATAGCCAGCCTGCAATGAGAGTTCCAATTAGTCAATGTTAATTCTGTGCATATTTGGCATCTGTTGTCAGCATGCATGCAGGCTAGCAACATGGCACAACCCACCATGCTGCCCAAGTCCTCCCCTCTGACCGTCCTCCCTGACATTCTTTCTCCTTTCAGTGATATGAAGTGGTGTTATCGGAGGGTGATTTTGTTGGAAGGAGAGCTTGGTGCATCATAGGATCACTGGTAAGTTTCTGATTTCTGCTTTAGTCTTTTGTTTCCTTTTTATTGGGGCGGGGCAATATATTAAGGTTAACTACAATCACAGTGTTTTATTAAATTATTTATTTAATAAAATAAACTGCTGAATATATTTAACACATAGTAATAGACAAGGCTTGAAATCACACCAGCCGGGGGGCTCAAGATTTGAGTGACCTGGCAGGAGGGAAGTGCACAGCACTCCCTCCTGCCTGTCACTCAGTGTAGCGTGGCCGTGCGGACCGCGGTATAGGAGCATCTGTTTCCTTTACCCGACCGGACCGACAGGAAGTGCTCACTTACATACACAAACACAATCATCCCTTATGCACACACATACTGCTTCTCTTACACACACATAGAAACAAAATTAATCTCTTGCACACACTCAATACACCCCTTATAGTCACATACACTGCATTACATTACATACATACACAGAAACACACCCATTTGATTTCTTACACATACAAACACAGATTCACACAATGCATCCCTTACACACAAACATACATTGCATCGCCTATGCACACACACCCTACATCCCTTATACAAATTGGTATCCCTGTACACAAAGCTCCATAAGAACACACACACATTACATCCTCTACAATAACACATAATACATCCCCAACACACATACACTCCACTCCCTGTAAGCAAACTCATGGGTGAGCCATGTAGGTGGACTTATGGGTTGGCCTAGTAGGCATACTCACAGTCAAGCCCTGGGGACCCAGACATTGAGCTGCATAAGGGCCCCCAAAAAATTTAGCTGCTTCCTGTTTGTTGATTTTTGTGAGCACTGTTACAAACAGCATCCAGAGAGCCTGTTCTACACTAGACCAGTAGAGCCAGACTGCAGCCTGAGCCCATCATCATCCTCTTGTCCTCATCTGGTTGTAAGTAGACAATCCAGTATATTATTAGTGGCACTAATCTCTAATTTACCTCACATTAAAGAGACACTATAGTCACCAGAACTACTACAGCTTAATGTAGTGGTTCTGGTGTCTATAGCCTGCCTCTGCAGGCTTTTTAATGTAAACACACTGCCTTTTCTGAGTAAAGACACTGTGTGCAGCACTGGCGTTGGCCCGTATGGCAGATCATATGGGTGTCACATGGTGGGCATAGTATATGGGGGGGGGGGAATTTTTGTTTGCTTAGGGTGGAAAAAATTCTTGCACGAGTCCTGGTAATGGCAGATTATAAAGTGGTCTGCGACGAGGTAATACAAGTTCCGTCAAAGGATCCAATTTAAATACCTTTCTCTTTTTATGAAGGCATTATCACTTAGGCAAATTGCATTGTTTTGTTCTACATAACTGCAGGCAATTGCCATGATTAAGTGGAAACCTCAGGTTCCACTCCATTTACTGGATACATTTTAGAGCTGTGATGATGAAGTTTACAAGTTGGCATAGATTTAAATTGGCTTTTTCCTTGTGAAACAAATAGCTACGATCAGTAAGGACATTCTCTAGGTACCAAACACTCAAAGCTTTTTGTTGTTTTAATGCATGTTTTCATTCTCTAGTTTATTGATGATCTAAATGCAAATCACCACTGATTATTGTTGGCTTAGGTACTTAAAGGGACACTCCACTGTTCAAATACATAAATCAATCAATCAATAAATAAATAAATAAATAGATAAATGTTTAGTAGAAAAACCCCTAATGAAAATATGCATACATTTAATTATGATTTGGGGTATATTAAAAAAACAGCTTGCAAAAGCTGCGGATTTCTTGTCAAACAGTAAAAAAGTGGTTAAACAGCACAATACAGTTTGACATGGAAA